ACAAAAAAACCCACAAACCACAAACACACAGCCAACCAAAAGCAAAACAAAAAAAAAAAACCCCATGCAGAACCAAACACACAAGCAAAGCCCTGGAGTTTGTTTATACCATATTGCACTCAAGTTTTTTTACTATACGCGAACGTCAATAAGGCACTGACAAATGAAGTTCATAAGATTTTTTTTCCCTGAAACTGAAATGATGCTTTCATTTAAAAAAAATAAAAAAAACAAGCATGAAGGAGTGCAACAGATTTTCTTTTCATAAAGATCTTTACGTGAATGAAAAAGTCCATTTATATTTTGGCAGAAAATGCTTGGTAGGATCGTTGTTCTCTCTGCTCACAGTTGTGAAAAAATGGAGTAACAATAGACTGTACACTGCTGCCCCCACAGCCTTAGGCATGAGGCACTTTTCTCAGAGGACTTCAGTTTGTGCAGGCTCTGTAAGCAAGGAGAAAACCACCCAACCAACAGAAGACTCCCACACCACTAGCAGAAAACATAAACCACACCATTATCAAAGCCCATTGCAACAGTTATCAGAGCTCCTGGTATGATCCATTTACACAGTTATGCAATGGCTTTTTTTTAGAAGGATAAAATTTCAGAGTTCTAGTTACTACTTTTTAAATTTTTAGGTTCAGCAACATCCATGGCAGTTGGATATGCCAAAGTAAACTGGGATCTTTCTGGAGAACTGGCTTTGGGAATTTTCTCTGCAATGGATGCTGGTTCTCTGTTTCTCATGCACTTTACTGACAACATCTGGGCATGTTACGCTGGTTACCTTGTCTTTAAAGCATGCTATATGCTCCTTATAACAATAGCAACGTAAGTATAATACACAACTGTTCTAATTAAATTTATTTAAATCAGTGTCACAGTTTTAAATTTATCAAAATTTTACTGAAAGCTTTCCTAGAAATAAGTTTTTTAAATAGATCATGACAACAGCACATATTTCTAGCTTATATAAAACTGTGCTTAAAATTATGACCTATTACAGTAGGTTATTCCAAGTCAGAAAATCTTATTCTGCATCTATTTTTTTAATGATCTATGTACAATTACTCTCTAAATGATCAAATGAGCATAAACGAGTCCTTAACAAAAATATCCACTCAAGAGAAGTAGGATGCACAAAAGCACCAAAGCCAGAAAAACAAGGGATTTCTGCCAAAATGGTGCTGTTGAAGCTTTATAGCCAAGGCTTTGGCTATTCCTTTGAAGAATCCACTGTGCACACCATATTATTCCCAAACTTCCTCTCATATGTAAAATTGCAAACATCCTTGTTCTCCATGGTTTTGTTAACCTGCACATTCATTTTCAGGTTTCAGATTGCTGTCAATCTAAGCATGGAGCGTTATGCTTTGATGTTTGGCTTCAATAACTTTGTTGCCCTGGTGATTCAGACAATTTTAACTGTTGTTGTAGTAGATTCAAAAGGTCTGGGACTCAATATCAGCACCCAGGTAAGCTACATTACTTGCACTGCTCTCAGTCCCTCTACCTTCCTCCAAAAGAGTGTTCTACTCCAAGATTAGCCTTTGGGAACATACTGGGTAATGTGCTAGCTTAGGACAGTTACTCACTTGAAAAACACGTTCACCTGAAGTGAACTGGCAGCAGCTAGTACAAACTACTTGTCCTCTAGTCCTGCCGATTTTGCTTTTCTCTAATAATTTTAAGAGCATTTTCATGGAGCAGAAGGGAACGACTACCACCTATTGCTCAATTTTGTTGGTTTTGTTTTGTTCTATTTATTTCTTTAAAGACCTACCACTCACAAATTCATTGTCAAATACCCTAACAGAAGCAGGAAGCAAGCTGAAAGGCCACCCACAAGTCTACCACCAGGCTAACTCGTTACTTTCACTGGATGCACCTTTAAGTTACTGTAATTCTGAAAAGTTACTGATCTCACAATTCCCCACCGACTTTCTTGATTTAGTTTAAACTTGCATACAGAATGAGGTCCAAATCTTTAGCTTTCATCTTTTCAGAGAAGAGCCAGGAAGTGCAGGGTAGCTGTCCTCCTTTCCCTTAACTGAGGTGGGGAGCAGAAGCACATAATACATTATCCTACTCTCCTCCTTTTACAGACAAAGACTTCCCACAGTATGAATTCAAGAAGCCAGACTTCTTGAATCCTTTCAAGATGGGGTGATTTTGGGGTGTGGGTAGCACAGAAGGGAAGGCAGCAGCAGAGGGACACTCCTAAGTTGCTACCTAACAGTAGAAGCAGTTTTTAACTCTTCTTCCTCTTTCTTCCCCACCTCCATCTCCCAGTTTCTCATTTATGGCAGCTACTTCACATTCATAGCTGGAATTTTCCTAATCAGAAGCATATACACCATGATCTCCCTCAACTGCAGAAATACCAATGTGGTTGGTGAAAGCATTGATCATTAACAACAGAGACAAAAAGAACAGTTGCAAGCTACAGCGCAGAAGGCTGCATCATCTAAATTTTCAACTGGAAGTTGTAACATGCATTTTTAAAGCAAGTTCATAAATAGCAATAAAACAGTTGTTTTTCCAAAATATCCTATTTCTGTCTGTTCCAAGGTGGATCACTGCAACATTATATAGCATAGCAATACTGCCACTTCAGTTTACAGCCAAATAGCAGTCATTTCGGATTGCACAGAGACAATGCACTCAGACATGTGAAGTTACAAGACTGTAAGGAAAACATGTCACTAAGTACAGATGAACTGCTACTGATGCAGTGACAGCTGTATTGTGACTTTGTTGGGGATGTACATACACGAAACATTAACCTTCCTTTTTAGTGTCTGTCCCAATAAGCATATGTATTAATCATGTCTGATAACTGCCATGACCAACACACACTTACCTTTAGAAGCAAAACCCCTCCTAAGCTAGATTTTACACCATGGGGAAACATTTCAATTTCTATACAAGGCAGTCTTAAATAACACAACTAGAAGTTTAGATATAACTATAGCTAATTAGGTAATGTTTTTCCTACTGCATTCAATAATGTCCACTTTGGAGTCAACTGTATCAGACAGCAGCAAATTACATTGTGTCCCTCTACCATGACTTACACATCTGCCAAGAGTGAGAAATAAATTGATGTTTCCCCAAATTCAGCTCACAAGAAAGTAAAAATCATTAATACCTTTAAAAACATAATTTTAAAAGCTGCTTGAGATTGCCTTTATGCCCCAGTAAGTTTTCCCTTCAGAAGAGCAGAATACTTGCATCATATTCGCAGTTCTATTTCAGGAATTCTGACTAAATCTGGTCCTTTCCAAACCAATTTCTTGCCTTAGCATTTGTTTCAACAAGGTGCTCGGGAATTTGCAGCCATTAAATAACTTTCGACTGCAGTACCTGGGCATCACGTCTGCCTTGTAGAACTCAGGATGTACCCCTTACAACATTGTCTTACACGCATAAAAGCTGACATAATAGGATTGAAAATATTAATCTAGGTGGTCTCCAAATTAACTTCTGTACAAGGGCTAAAGTTAAATACTTTGATTCTAAAACTGAAGAGGATACTGAAAAGCTAGTGAAAGTAGCTTTTAGGCAACGATTCTAGTTGCATGAGCAATTGTGTAACCAACTGCAGAGGTTTCAAAGACAAAACACAATCACAGGCAAAGAATTAACTTTGTAAAAATAGCTATTTCAAAATGCAATCAACAAAACAGCTATGGTATCAGTTTCTGCTCAATACAAAGGAGACTTAAAACAAGTTAAGATCTTCAGCTACTTGTCTGGAGCTTGACAAAATCAGTGAACATATATTAAACAGACGCAGTTGTGTATAATAAAAGTTGCCAGCCTTTTATTTGCATTCAAGCTAGTTACAAAAAATAAGGTATTCTACTATTTCTGCAGCATAATCTAAAGCTACATGCCATGCATGCTTACCATACTCTAACCAGCACTCCTCATCAGAAGGAGAAAAAAAAATAACTCAGACTTCAAGTAAGAAATGCTACTTTAAGCATATATATGTACATATATATATACACACACATAGAGGAACTACTACCTTCCCATAGACAGGCAACAGCAGCCAAAAGCACTGGCATAAGAGGGGTTTTTACAAGCACCGGTCAAGTCTTTCAGCTCCCCTAGAAATAAGCAGACCTACGAATCAGGCAGTCAATTATAAGGAAAAACATCTTACCTTCAAGAGTTTACCTCTAATGGCCTTACACATCCTTTTCTCAAAAATCAATCTGATCTCTTTTATTCCTGTTATCTTGAAAGGTGTTATGATTTTATTCTCCAGTAGCCAGAAACCTTTAAGCTTGCAGTTGATGTCTTCATTATATACTTACATTATTTGCTTAGTTTCAGTATTACACTTGACTAAGCCAAGTTATTCGAGTTGAAAACACCATCACCAACTAATCTGATGCAGAGTTGTATTTTTCTTGAACCTTACTACTGTTACAGAGTAGACATGCCAGACATTTCTTCCCTGTCTACAAATTGCATGCTAGTATGGCAGGAAATATTCCAGTAAATAAAAAAAGAATCAATTTAATATTCCACAGGAGGTATTACTTATATCAATTTTTAATAAAAAGAATGCTGTTACAGCTGTGGTACCTTGGCCTGCAATTATACACACTGTTGTGATCACAACTAAGTCTTGCTCAAAGACTATCATTAGCTACACATAAGTATGTGTCTTTTTCAGCTAGCCATTTCTCAAGTAACTACCCTCCTCAGTGCTTTCGGTGTCCTTCATTACAGAGTTATTCTGTCAAAATAATCCAAGTTCAGTTAACGGTTTCCTGTTTGATGTCACTTCACTTGAGCTAGAACAGCAAGCTTAATCACAAGGGCACAAAGAAACATCTAGAGTGAGGCATGTGAAAATTTTAAGCTTAACTCACCTTTAAGCATTTTGCTTTTGATAATTTCGCTGTGTAAAAGACTCACAGTAAGTATATTTTAATCCATTAAAATGTTACTCCACAGAAATAATTCTACACAGGGGGTTTTTTTTCTAATATTTATTTTTTTCACCTGCAAACTGTAGCAAAACATGATCAGCTTTATTATGCAGACAGGTATCCCTCTAACATTAGAGATTTAGGCATGTATAAATAGAAGAGCTCTTAGGAAAGGAAAACATTGAGAAATGAACAAACCTTCAATTTAACTTCATGACTTCCAATACCAATGGTTAAAACGATGTAGCTCATTCATTCCAAGAGATACAACAGCACCTTAAGTGGCTGATCTATTCCCCAGTAACATTTTTCACATAACAATGTGTTAAAGTTACAAATACTGATATGCACAAATAGCTATTTTCTAAGAAAAATATGTACAGTACTGCAGCATAATGAATGTGGTATCTGCAATAACTTATTAGCCAATTTTAATATACATGATACCGCTACTTTTTACCTGCCAGCTCACAGGTCCAAGGATGTTACCACAGCCCTCTGTTTTGCACGTTATTACCTGGTGGGGGGGTTGATTTTCTTGGGGGGTTTTGTGGCTTTTGTGGTGGTCTTTTGCTTTTGTTTGGGTTTTTTTTATTAATATTTTTCATTTTCTTAAAGGTACACAATGCAGGCTTTTATTTTTACTTCTTAAAGACTTCTTTTGTGTTTAAAGCTAATATCAGTGAAACAAGACAACAGTGCAAGAGGCGCAGAGATGTTATGTGACCACATAAGAGTTCTTTTGGGTAAAGTGTCTATAAGGCTATAAGAAAGGATTGGTTGATGGGCTTCCTGTTGGAAACTGTCCTGTTGGTGCACCAGCCTTGGGGGGGAATAAAAGAAGAAAAATAAGATGAATATTCAAGATTTTTGTTTTCAGATTGTAAATCATTAATGCAAGATACATGAAAAAGAAAACACCCTATTAGGACATATTTCTCTTATGGTGAAGTCTTTTTCCCCCAGTACTTCTCAAATTACACTACTGTAAGAGGAAGTTACACAAGTACCTCTACTTTGATCTGAATAGCCTTACAAACACCATGCCACCATCATACTGAATTGCATGTATGAGATTCATGTGCTACCTTCCTTATTTGAAGAAGAAAAAAAAACCAAAAAACAAAAAACACACCACACCCAAAAAAACCCCCCCAAAAAAAACAAAACACCATACCCCCCCAAAAAAAAACCCCAAACCACAAACCCCAAATTTTTGTATGTCTAATTGACCTGTTACACATTATGCCTTTTCAGACAGAACTTAATATCATACAACAACTCACCATAAAAGGGTTACTAGGTACTCCAACAGCTGCAACTTGTCCAAAAGAAGTTACTAGAGGCTTTGCCTGTCCAAATGCAGCAAAACCTGCTCCTTGGAAAGACAAGTGAAAAACATTAAAACTAGTAACCAATCTTCAAAGAGTTCTTTGCTGCAGCTCCCACACAAAAATAAGTGGAAGCTTGGCCTGCACAGTCAGCAGGATTGATCCTACTTAAACACTGTCAGGAATCCAAGTATAAGGAAAAATACAGCCGGGCTTTTTGTTTGTTTTCAACTGCTCGGAACTGATCAATTCCCAATTTCTACACATGCACTTTTTTCAATGTTATTTTATCAATTAAAAAAAAAAAAAAAAAAAAAAAAAACAACCCCCAAAACAATAAACAAAGAAACAAAAAAACTTTCTAATTTTCTCTTGCCTGTGTTCTATGAAGTTAGAGAAAGTGTTATAACCAGTTGCAGAAACTCCAAAACTGAAGGCAAAGCAATTCAGCTTGCATAAAACCCCTTCTAAGCCTAGGAATACTTATAATTTTAGTATCAGATTAGGATAAAATTTCAGTTACGTCATTGCACACAGCCAAGTCAGAAAGCTCAACAAAGAGCCAAAACATAGTGTGGGAACCCCTCATCAAGGTTATCAAGTTCACATAGAAATAAAGATGCACCCATTTTTGCTAACTTACAGACAAATCATTTTCTCCATGCTTCAGATTTAAACAACATCATCTAATATGTTCGACCTACCATTTGGCTGCTGAGCAAAAGCAGTCTGTTGAGAGAAAGCTGCCTGGGTTGGGAACGTGGGCTGCTGGAAGTTGCCGCTAAGACTAGTAGGAAGAAGACTGTAGGAAGCAGGAGTTCCAAATCCTGCAGGCATGCTCACAGATGCAGTACCAAATGTTGCTGCTGGTAGGCAAAAAATAACATTCAATTATTTGCAAGAAATCACTTTTTTTCCATGAGACAAATTACTATAATGTCATGTTAGGAAAAGCTTCCTAATGCCTCAGTGACCATACAAAAAGTTAGGTTCAACTTTAACAGCCACTGAACTGATCTGTTAGCTTGGATCATCACCAACTAGGTGCATAATTTACTTCTGTACTTTAAAAATGGAATCATTTAAGACTTGCTAGATCCAGCACATCCAGATATACCTTCTGAAACGGAATTATTTTTTATGTTGTCTGCATTATCATACACTTCCCCCCAGAGTTTTCCTGGTAAAAGCCTGTACGTATCAGAAGCAAGCACTTTCAGGCAGCATAAGCCCCTCTGGTTTTCTCCTTCTGAGAAAAGCATGAAAGGAACTTCCTACTTCAAGTTGCATTACAGGAAGTTACAAATGTAGGAAGAAGAAAAAAAAAAAAAAAGTCATAAGGGATACATGCATCCCCTCTCTCCTCATCCCATCCTCATTTCTTAGGAAATTCTCACCATGCACATCATTTGCACACACAGTTCCGTTTGCAAACACTCTTACTGTTGAGGTAAGACTTCAAACAAAAAAAAAACCAAAAAAACCCAAGAAACAAACTCTTCATCTGATTCTCTGCTAAACATTTCAAGTAAAGTACACACAGCTCATATGCAGTGGCACATGCCTTCACATCAAGTGCGAAAACGTGCTAACAAAACCATTATTCAGTCTTTTGGGAGTTATTCTTGAAAGGAGAAGTGCAAAGAAGAGGGTTTTTTGGTACAAACACCAAGCATTTTATTCTCATTAAACATTAGACAGGACTTTTTTTTTTTAGTGATGCAAGTTAGATTTTACACAAGCTCAACTTTTTTAGAAAAAAAAAAAAAAAACAAACAAACAAAAAGAAATAACAAAAAGCCCCAAAACAAACCACAAAAACAGGTATTAAACTAATACAGCTTATCTATCAGTTGAAAAATTTACCCCAGATGTATTCAAGGGCAAGATATTATACATAAGCTGTTGACAAAGTACATGCAAAACTAATGTACTAACATTATTCAAGTTAGTTAGCAGAGAAGCTA